CCCTATCCCTGTGGAGTCACTTTGACACAGGCAGATTGTCAGCCAGGCATGTTCAATGAGATGCCTTCCTGTGGCTTTGTCTGAGAACCCACTGAAATCAGTGGGAGTGTCTCTGTTGACTTTAAAGAGCTTTGGATACAACACCCAATGTCTTAACATACTGGCTGGTTTCAGAAGTACACGGAAGTCCCTGAAGTCATTTCCTAAAGCTTGGTATGCAGCAAAGTAGCTGTGACTTAAAATATACCCTTTCCAGAGTATTTTTTTAGTAATTATGGGCTAGTGAGGGCAGTGCTAAAGAATGTTTTCCTTGTGTCTTCCTCTCCCCTTCTATGCCCTCCTCCCGCCCCCCAGGCTTGGCATATCAGCAGCACCAGCCCTCTTTCCTGCTTCTGCAGTCCAACAGAGATTTAGCCTGTAGAAAAAAAAATCAAGAAAAATATCATCTTATGGACCTTAATGTACAGCAACTGGGGAGCAATGAGCTACAGAGAGGACAACATAGTGCATTCTGCTGGGCAGCTTTTCTTCCCCTCTGGTCTCCTTTGCTTACTCATAGAGCCTGTTCTCCTTCTGCCTGTGGAACTGGTTTGTGTCATCGTGATGAACTGGGTGCTAGAGCACAGGCAGGCCTAAACATACCCTTCCCCCGAAGCAGACGAGATGTGCACAGGCTTGATTAATCCTTATATTAGTCATTACTGTTATTCAATTACTATTATTACTAGAGTATGTTTTATTGAGAACAACTGGATAATTTAAGAAATATATTCCTAATAGCCCTCTCTCTCTCTCCACACACACACATATATGTGTATGTACAAATGCATACATGTAACTTGAAAGGGCTGTGTGTGAAAAGTGATAGAAAGGGAAATTGTTGGCATGTCAAAATCTAACAAGTTTGCATCTCCAAATTTTTTCTTCTTCCTAACAGTGATATCACATCATATAAGTAACACAGGCAGACGTATGAAGCGTCGCTGACCTGTAGCAATATATTTCATTCATTTATTCATATCTACATGAAAATTAATGTTCTGTTTCCTGTTGTCATTTCCTCTAGTTCCTTCCAGCCTCTGATATAAAGTGGTGAACTCCAGGAGTTCAGATTACTCATGAAGAAATGCTGTCAGGGCTTTCCATGGTAATCTGATCATAGACTAATGAATATTTGCAAGTATGTGGCTAGTCCTTCAAGCCTATGCAGCAATCTTTATCTTGGGCAACCTGATGGCTTCTCAATCACTTGCACAAAGTAAGTTGAACTCTCCAGATATTAATTTTAGAATCTGATGTGCAGATTTTCATTGTTTATGTGCAG